TTGTTTAAAGAGAGAGGTACAGCTGTTAGCTGATTTATGACACGCACGTGTTTACAGTAAGACTAGTTCGGACAGGATTTGAGAGACAAAAGGGTCCTCGGTGACCCGTATTTCGAGGTATGAACGATTCACGGTGGTCCGCGCGCCGAACCACTTGAACCCTGTTGTAAATTCCTTGATCGCGACAAAGGTTTCGGTTCGCGGCCGAACAATGATGGTAAAAGTACTAATATTCGTAATAATATTGATAATAATATAAATAATAAGGATAATGTTAATAAAAGTAGTAATATGCGTAATAATGTTGATAAGAAGAGAAGTAGTAACGATAATTGCAGTTCCAGCGATGATAGTAGTTTTAATATGCCTAATAATATTGATAATGATAAGAATAATAAGGATAATGATAATAAAAGCAGTAATATGCGTAATAATATTGATAATAATAAGAATAATAAAGATAATGATAATAAAAGTAGAAATATGCGTAATAATATTGATAATAGTATAAATAATAAGGATAATGTTAATAAAAGTAGTAATATGCGTAGTAATGTTGATAATAATAAGAGTAGTAAGGATAATTGCAGTTCCAGCGATGATAGTAGTCGTATTATGGGTAATAATATTGATAATAATAAGAATAATAAGGATAATGAAAAGGATAATGTTAATAGAAGTAGTGATATGTGTAATAATATTCATAATAATAGGAGTAGTAAGGATAATTACAGTTTCAGCGATGATAATAGTGGTCATATGGGTAATAATATTGATAATAGTAAGAATAATAAGGATAATGATAATAAAAGTAGTAATATGCGAAATAATATTGATAACAATAAGAGTAGTAAGAATAATTGCAGTTCCAGTGATGATAATAATCGTGATATGCGTAATAATATTGATAATAATAAGAATAATAAGCATAATAATAATAGTTGTAACGATAATAAAAGTAGTAATATGGGTAGTGATATCGGTTCAATTGATGATAATAGGAGTAGTAAGGATAATAATTATAGTTCCACGATAATAGTAATAGTAACATGGGGAATGAATTATGTTAGGTCTCCAGACCTAACCTGATACAACCCAACCTTGGAATTATAGTTCCACGATAATAGTAATAGTAACATGGGGAATGATATACGTATGGTCTCCAGACCTAACTTGATACAACCTAACCATAGTCCCTGACCTAACATGATCCGAACTAACCTTAGATCCTGACGTAACCTAATATATCCTAACCGTAGGCCTGACCTAATATAATCCGACCTAACCTTTGGCCTTGACCTAACATAATATAATCTAACTGTAAGCCCGACCTAACCTTAGGCTCTGACCTAACATAAAATAACCTAACCGTATGCTTGACCCTAACTGTAAGCCCGACCTAACCTATTCCGACCTAACCTTAGGCTCTAACCTAACATAAAATAACATAACCGTATGCCTGACCTAACATAATCCGACCTAACCTTGGACCCTGACCTAACCGAATATAACCTAACCGTAAGCCTGACCTAATCTGTTGATTGTCTGTTAAAATAACCTAACCGTATGCTTGACCTAACATAATCCGACCTAACCTTGGACCCTGACCTAACCGAATGTAACCGAACCGTAAGCCTGACCTAACCTGTTGATTGCTTGTTATGTTTAAGAATGTAATGGAAAGGATTGTAAATAAGTACATGATTTCTTTTGTTTATTTATTGTAACTTCATAAATACATACAATTTGCAAATATATTTTGTACAATTTGTAATTTATGTAACTCTTTATTGGTTTAATTCTTTGTCGAAGATCGAGGCAGATTGTGTGTATAATTTTGGAACTGAAAAATAAAATTGTTGCACGATTTAATAATATTTTTACGTGAAAGTTAGAACATTAGTAAACAGAAAATGTTACTTATAAAAATAATAAATCGAATCATTCTTTGTCGAAGATCGAGGCAGATTGTGTGTATATTCAATTTTGGATCATTAAGGTGCCCTCATCAGTCACCACTGCGCGTGCTCGTTGATTAAATGGAACGCAGAGATCCTTCCTCCACTTCAATGCTGTAAAGACTAGCTCGTCGGTCCAATTGCATGGCTTAAACTACTTTTAAGTAGCGCGCAGATCAGTGTTGGGCAATCCTAGTGCATGCGCAGTAAGCTATCCGTAGATAGATACGGCATTGGCAGCAAGCTGTGACGTCAGCTGACGCATGCGCATGAAGCTCTCGCGTGAGATAAAATCTCACGACTGCCCACACAGACCCCATCCTAACCTCAGCTAAACCTAACCTAACAAGATCGGTTCGCTGCAAGATGGCGCCACCTATAATTGCTTTGATCTGTATTAAATAAATATTGATTTTTGGGCTTAATCAGCAATAAAATGCATCAAATGTTAACAAAAATTTACTTTAGAATGTCTCAGGAAACATAATACGTCCAAGAAGTCATGAAATCTAACTGTTTTTATTTCTCCAATACGCGTATTCGGGCATGCAGTTTTTTCGATTGGTTCATTTGTTTCGCCGCTAGACGGTGCTTCATTTTTTTCTCCAGAAAATGACCTTTTTTTTATTTTCGTTTCCAGAACTTTCAGCAATCTTTTATGGAATTATTTCACTTCTAATTTGATCATATAGCAGCACTTAAGATCTCAAAGGCTTCAATATAATTTTTAGTAAAAATAAATATCTTACTTTCTGATGTAGTTCTTGAATCATGTAAAATAGTCTGCTTTCAAAAGTAGACTCGTGCGCGCGAAAAGATATTTGTTTATAGATTTCGAAAAACTTGTTTTGAGAGTTCATGTATTTATTTATCAGTATATTTTTTAATATAAACAACACGTTGAAGTCTTGACGAACATTGTTTATTAAACCCATATTAATTTTAACGTATCGATCATAAATAAGACTTTTATGGATTAAATAAAAATTGCTACCAAACGTATTTCCTAAAGCATCGAACATAAGCTTATCGCTGGGCTAATACTTCGGAAAATGTTACAAATTACATTTTAATTTAAAATGAGTATGGACTTGATGAAGATGTGTTCACATACGAAACGTTACATCATCAAAGAATACACATAATGTTCGAATGAATCGCGTACAGATGTACACTCGTTTATAAAAATGAACGCAAACGTCCGAGTAAAACGTTTAGAAAAATGAAGTGAATTAAATTCGACGATTATTATTCGCACCAACATAAATGCTTCTCTTTGATCGTTCCTCTCGCGTGAGCTCTACGTGTACGCGCGTTGCTTAGCTAAAAAAACTGAGTAAAAATACATTCGTGATGAACATTAAATATAGAGTGACATGTTTTTGCTATTCTTTACTCGATAAGTTTAAAATCTAGTTTACAATAAAATTACTTCTTATACGATTATCCGGAATTATTATTTGCAGAACTTGTAAAAAGGAGTTCAATTTACTAGCTTTCACTTTGACCGATATTTTCACCTAGTTCTGTTTCTTAGGCTAATTTTGTGTCTCTTGGCACTTAGCACCAACTTTCAGAAATGCAATCCCAGTCGAAGACATACGTCGTTCTTATTATACGTATACAACTTAGCATACAAATTTTATATAACAACGAAATAGATTGCTAATTACTTTACACGTGTACTTCGATACAGTGTCTCGCTATATGGCCCGTTGAGGCAGGGAATGTTATATACATATAGACATAAGTAATTTCCAAATTTCCAAATTTAAAATCACTGCATGGAAAGAATTCCATTTACATGGAATATTCTATATATTTTTGTCCACTCCTGCTGATTCAATCCAGGTCTATATAGCGACAATTCACTATACTTTAAACAAAAAGGTTCTCATTTACAATTTCGTTTAAGTTGAAAATTTAACAAATTAATTTTTTTGCGCAAGTTTTGTATATTTTCAATTACATATTTTTTCTAGTCAGTCTAATATTAAAGTTTAGCTTTCGATTTTGATTTAATAATCATTTACATTGCATGGATAATTACATACACATTTCTGTATAGATGTTAATATCCTTTAAAAATCTATCTATCTTTGAAATACTGGGAGAAGTAATTTATATTAAAGTGTTCATTGAACCGGATAAGAGAAACTCGCTTCCCCTTTCAATCGCATAAAATATTACTTAAGATTTGAATGTTCTTGTGCATTTCGTCGAGACCAAAGTTACATTCGTTATAAAATAAGAAGTTCATAACTTAATTCATTACAAGCTAAATGTGAAAAAACAAGATACGTGTTATGATTTCACAAAATGCAGTGACGTGTATGTGTATATTTTTCAAACTATTTTTGTTGAAATTCTACGACTCTTTTATAGAAGTATCCGCAACACTTCAGCAAAACGCATAATACCAAGTCGGTTTAGGTACCTTGCACCAATAACGAAACACGATTACAACCCTGATTACTAACTTTCTTAACAGTATACAGTTCTACCAATTTACTGGTCAGTTGTTTAAAATGAGACATCATTTTACTAACCAGATCAACGTTTCGTAAAGAATCATGTTCTAGGAACCAGATTGCATGTCTTAACTTTGCCACAGAGCTTTGTACAATAGCAAACATGATAGACTTCTTCCGAAAAAATGGCGATGTAGAGGAATGAGGCTTTAATATTCTTTTACTGACACAATTTTCAATTTATTAACTTACAAGTTTAAATATTTATAAATTTTGGAATTTCTAGATTCATGGTTTTTATATAAACTTAATTCTCAGAATTAAATTTATAAAATTTAATTAAACAGAGATTCGTTCCTCTACAGTCGTCGTTACCCAAAGGAAGCCATTGTGCCCGGGTGTACTTCAATCAAAATAGAATCCAAAATTTACAATAATACAACGAGACCGAAATGCGATATTGCATCGATGTTTCTCGATTACAATTTACAAACAAACTATGATTTACAGCGCAAATATGGTATTTTTATCATACGCTCTTACACGGGAACTTGGACATCTCGAATATCCTGATTTCTTCGAAACTGCTGGCTTCTAGAGATCAATATTCCTTTATAGTTGATCATAAATCAACGCGTCCCAATCTCCATTAATAAAAAAAAGGAAAATGTCGCTCGATTAAAGCTGCTCCATAACTCCAGCGACGAGTCAAAACGAAATCAGTATTTTCCAATTACCCGACGTTCCGCTGTCAATTCAAGATGGCGCTTTAATTCAAATGATGACGATGAAATCGGCGACGTTCGTTTCAGCTCTATTGAAGATCCTCTTGCCAATCGACCGTTCGTGATACATAATGCATCGTCGAATGGAAGCTATCGGAGAGAAGAACGGTTTTGTTTCATTGTCAGATGTCGTGTCCGTCCTTGCTCCGCAGGAACATAATGTATCATTTATGCATCCAGAATCCACATTCACACGTTTTCCGACTCGCTCATGGTGGTGGTGATGGTAGTGGTGGTGGTGTTGGGGTGACGCTATATGGATGGTGATGGATTAAGTCTTGTGCATGGTTGACGGTGCATCACAACGACGTCTTTCTATAATACATTCGTCGCTGTACACCGTTCACGAGGTGGCTCGTAATTTTTCCAATGCAGGCACCAGGGGTTCCTCGAGGGAGGGACCACAACTCAGTCCACATTCGCCGATCCATCTTGCTTTACCACTGGCGTGGGACTGAAATTTAAGAAATTAACATTAATTTATTTGTTCAAATAAATTGCGGTTTAAAGGCTCATTCACACAATATCGCGTGTTCTTTTCAAATTGTTTATGGTCTTAACATTTTTACAACACGACTGCAACCTCTCCAATCTGCAGAATTTATCGATTAAGAGGAGGGAACGATAAAAACCCTATCGCGAGTTGACATTAAAAGCTTACTCTTATCGACAACTTACACACGATCGAACTTATCACGAACAAAGCAGTTGTTTAATATGACCTTCGTGGTAACACGAAGCTGTTGTGAAGTCATTTGCGAAATCGATAAGCACAACTGTTCCATGTTGCGACTTACGCAGAACCTTTCATCCAACGATTAATGATTTTTTTGTTTCTGAACAAACGATCGCAATTACCCGTCGATAGATATATCAATGTATTAACATTACAATACTTTATGTTTGTCGATATTAATCGAAAGCGAATATGCTTCTTCCACGGTAAATATCTTCCATAGCAAATATGTGAACACCAACGATTTTGCGATTTTTGAGCTCGTATGTTTACGAAGGTGTGCACCCTCGTTAACAAGAAAATAAGTAGATGTTTACCATGGTAAGGTCGCGTTTCCACGAGGTGCGGCAACGTCCGTCGCAAAGTGGGCACGGCCGCTGAAGGGAATAACCACCACACTCGCTGCAATCAAGAGAGACGTGTTCTTCGCTCCACGAGACACCGCATCTGTAATAAAAAGAAGGGTCTTTGGTCAAGACTATTGTACCGAACGCACCTGCGTCGACCATAGAATACGCAGAATTGAGACACGGAATACTAGTGCTTGGCAGAAATCCCAACACGTTGAGTGACACGCGAATAAAGAACTCGTCAGATTTAAAATCGCTGACTTAAAATTTTTTGAAAAGAAATATTTAAGTACATTCATAATGTGATAATGTAAAGGTAAATTTTTTAGTTTCATTTTACTGATATAACTGTTGTTGTCTGCACGAAAAGTGTCAATCATTGATGTAATATTCAACGTGTTAAAAACTGTCATGTTAGCATTAAAGAAACCCTTTCTAATGGCGCCATATTTGAATTTCGTATAATTTACATAAAATTGATATGTAACTCACATTGCAATAAAACTTTCCTACTGAACATAATGTTAAAGGTCTCTGGTCAAAGAACGCGTATCGATTAGAAGAATATGGGAGCAACGGAAATTAACAACGTTCGATATCGTGTCCCTCATACATGAAGTGCTATATATTATGTACTTTATAAAATAAAGTTAAGTAACAAGGCGCGGGATCAATGAAGAATGTAGCCCTTTAATATACTATTTTTATGTATAATCATAAAGCTATGATGTAGAAGTAATTGTAAAGCCGATAGGTTACGTCTTAAAATGTCTTTAAGTTCAACATCGACCGCAGGTTCAGTGTATCTCATGCGAGCTTTTGCGTTGCATTATTATTTTATAAAGGATTAATGAATATCATTAATAAATTTTATGGTTCAATCGGCAAACTCGCTGGGGTTTTAATCGATATCGTCGATATTTATTAATTTTTTAAATTTAATTTTATGTCTATGTGTTGTTTTGATTTTTATTGTTTGTGAATTTGGGCTTTTAAGATTTTGGGATTCGGGAATTTTAAGTCTGGGGATTTTGGAATTTTGGGAAGGAGGGATTTTTAATTTTAAGAATTAGGGACTTTGGAATTTTGGGAAAAGGAATTTTTGAATTTTTGGAACTAGGGACATTGCAATTTTTAAATTGTAGTAACTTAGGAGCTTTGGAATTTTAATAATATGGATTTTAGGGCTTTTAAAAATTTGGAATCTAAGGAATTTGAAATTCTGAAATATTGAAACCGTGGAACTTTGAACTCTATGGATTTTGACGTTCTTAATTTTGGGACTTAGGGAATTTAGAATTTTGAGAATTTAAAATTGCTTGATTTTGGAATTGTAAAAATTCGTAGTTCAGAAATTCAGTAAATTTGAGAACTAGCAATTTTAGAAGGGGGCTAGAGACTTTTCAATTTAAATAATAAATTATTTTAGATACTTCATAAGAATTATTGAAATTCAAAATAATTCAAAGTAATAAATTGAAATTATTATCCAACACACAAAAGTGTCCCGTTAATAATTTCAAGTACCCATAACCTTGATCGAATTACCTCTCTATACATTTCATAGGTCTGGGTCAAGATGGAGTACATCGAGACGACAACTGGGACAGAAAATTCGCATAGGACTGCGAAGCAATTAGGAGTCAATAGCCCAAGGCAAATCGCGTACTTAATGGCCTATATTAAAAATTACATAAAGGGAAGGCCCAGCCGGGTTAATTGTTTCTGATAGCCGACGTTGAAACAGTCGCGTCACTTTTATCGGGCCATCTCGCCAAACACGTCGAACAAGTGCGTATCACGTGACACGATAAGAACGTATGAAATTTCATGGAGTGTTACGACTATCGTTAACTAGTTAGGCTAACGTTATCGCATTTCCGTTTACTCAATCGAGATTGAAAAAATAGAGGAAGTTAGAAATTGTGGCGCGAAACTCACGTGAAACAAGAGTTCAGTTGAGCGCGAAGTTCCTCGATTGTAAGGATCGTGTCCTGGTACTGAGGGTGAGATCCTTGGAGGCCATCGTCAACGCTCCCGCATGAACTATAGCAGGACAGAGAGATGTTGCTCCTGAAAATTACAAGACGAATACCGTGCTAATTAATATACTGCTGTTTTTCTTTATACTGTGGTGTTTTTGATGGTTGTAAGAATTATAATGGTTTGTGTACTTGGAAATATTAATGAATTTTTCAAGTAAGGATTTATGAACTTGTAAGATACTAAATAATTCCTAAATTTAAAAGTTAATTTTCTAACTCATGTTACTATATTATAAAGCTCGTCCTTAGTTATTTTAGTTATTAAATTCTAGTAGCCAAGTTATTAAATTCTTGAAGTACCAACCCACCAGATTAATAAATTCCTAAATCCTCAAAGCATCAGATCACTAAATTACCAAATTTCCAAACCAGAAAATTACTATTATCTTAAAACTGAAACCAGCAGTTTACTAAATTTTCAGATTCCCAAATTACTAAATTATCAAATTTCCAAATTTAAAAATTCTTAAATCCACAAATCTTTATAGCCACAAACCTCTTAAGTCCCTGAATCCAAAAATTCCCAAATTTCTAAATTCTAAAATCCCTAAATCCTTGTATACAAAAACCAGTAAATTCCTATATCCAAAAATCTCTAAATCGTTGAATCCAAAAAGCTCCAAACTTCCAAATTCTAAAATCCCTAAATTTCCAAATTCCAAAATTCCTATATCCACAAACCTAAAAATCCCTAAACCCCAGAATCCAAAATTCCCAAATTCTTATCTAAAAATTTCACACTCGCATCCAGTAATCTTCCTACAGAAAGGTTCAAAGTCAACAAAGCACGTATAACAGAGATTCAGTAAAATTCCAAGAAAAAATATTCTCGCGATAGATAGGTACGTGCGTAAGTATACAATGTTCGATAATTAAAAGATCTTATCTACGAGGTTCGATTAATAATTTGCAAAAGTAATCGAAAATACAAAATCTGATCGAGCTGTTACAGAAGATCGAGTCACGAGATAATAACCTTGAACAGTTTCGAACGTTAAACCCGGAAGAAATAAGAGGTACCAAGGTTCTTTTTTTATACTCCTTTTTTTTAGCTGACCGTTACACACATCTGTTTATGCACAAGTTTCGTCCGTGTGATGAATTCTTACCGTTATGACTCTCAATCGGTTGAGGCTTACGGTAAATACACATATCTTGCTTTCAAACTTATGTTTGGACTATGAGGTACGTCTTCAAGATTTCACTTTTGACGTCTTGTTAGCGCGTTTCTAACACTATGAGTATATTTACGGTGTTTCGAACGTTTAGTGTCCGTCGATGGGAACTTTGCACAGAGGGGTGGGGGGAGTCGTAATGGACTATGAGGTAGTTAGCATTTTAAGATATATCGGTACAACCCTTTTTTTATAATCGAATTTTTATATTTATAAATTTCTAAATTGTTACATTTATAAATTTTCCAATTTCCAAATTTTTAATTTCAAAACTGTTACATTTACAAGTTTATAAATTTTTATATTTCTTAATCTTTAAATTTTCAAATTCTAAATTTTTGTATTTCCAAATTTCCAAATTTTTATATTTTTAATTTTTCAATTTCTATGTATTGTAATTTTAATATTTCTTCTAATCTTCTATTGTTCCAAATTTTTAAATTTGCAAACTTCTTAATTTCTGAATTTATCTTCATAGATCAATTTTTACATACAAATTAAAAGTTTCTATATATAAATTTTTGTACATAAATTATACATTTTGTTAAATAAAATTTTACATATAAATTGCAAATTTTTATACACAAATTTTCCCCTCTAAATTAGAAGTCTTCACAGGCAAATTTTTATGCATAAAACATAAGTGTCTGTAGATAAGTCAGTACATACAAATAAATCAAATGACGTCTAAAATTTTGATTTCATGATAGTTAAATCCCATCAAATAACGTTATCTATCACTTACTTATCAAACAATGATACCAAAGAGTTGTGAAAGATCAAGATTTCCAAGGCTTTCAAATGTCTTTGTACTCTTCTCAAGAAAAATGTCGAATTTCGAATTGTAATTTTTGTAAACGATGCAAGTAATCAATTAAACCAACGCATCACCACGTACACGTAAAATACGCAGTGTCAACATATGCAGATATGGAAATCAGGATGAAAAACGTTCGGTTCACGTGATAGTAACGTGAACAGGAACGTAATAAATGGTTTGCGTAGTTTTACGCGCGCGTGTAAAGCGGAATGACGCGCAAATATTGGAATCGACGAGAATTAGCGGACTACACGCGCGTTTTTGCTGTCCATCTTCCAACGACCAATTTTGCGTTACAAAGAGATAAAATGGAAATTTTGAAAGTTTCAAACATTCAGTTTTTTAACATTGAAACATTTCAAACATTTGTATGAATCAGTTTTAAAATTTCAAAACTTATAAATCTCAAATTTTTAAAAAATTACAAAATTGTAAAACCTCAATTGCTAGGAACTTTAGAATTTTAAAATTGCACATTTTTAAAAAGCAAAAAATTGTAGAATTTCTAATTTTTAAAGGGTTCAAAACATTTTTAAATATCAACATTTAAAAAACTTTTAATTTAATAATTTTAAATAATTGTAACATGTAAAATTTTTTGAAATGACACATTTACAGTGTTCTCCAAAAATATTAAAACTGCTAATGTTAAAAAATTTCATGAAATTTAAAAATTGCAAATTTTCAAAGATTCTAAAACATTTTAAAATACCAAATTTTCAAAAATCCAAAATTTCCAAAAAATTCCAAATGTACGTTTCTTAACAATTTGTACAAATAATTATACAAAGTTATATGTTTAATACCTCACCATATAAGACTAGTAATTGATTCAATTTTAATATTATCTTAGCTAATACGTCAGTAAAAAATAATCTTCTGAATTAATTAATAAAATACTTTGAACTTCGCTATTTCACCAAACCGACCAATAACACGTATCCTTCTTGATAGAATAAAATAAAGAATATACTAAAAATATATAAATAAGCTAAAAATTAGATAATTTAACGAAATAAGATAACAAGATTCAGATCTATATTGAGTAATCGATAAAGGATCAATGAATGACGCTACATATACCTTAAGGCAGTAATTAAAGGAGAACGGTAATTTACCGTTTAAATGTTACATTTAAGTACGATTCGAGTTTTATCGAAGAAGGCCAGGTTACGTCGACATATGATCGTGTACGAGTGCCCTTTGTACGCTCCGCACGTGGAATTAACTTACGCAGCGCGCACATCATTAACCGGGAAACAAAGTGACCGTGTAGGTAGTAGATAGATAGACTAAAGGATTAAATCGTTCCCTCCTTTCTTTCTCTATTTCTTCTCTCTCCTGTTCTATCCCTGGCACGCAGCAATTTCCAGAATTTCCGGCTTACGTTAAGCGTTAATTAACCGCGATGGAGCGAACAAAGGTTCTTCGCGCTTCGAACCGTGAGAAAAACGCGGACTTCGCGAGCGAATTTTCAATCGACGGAAAAATTTCATTCCGTGAAGTTTGATCGACACGGTGTTCGATACGGATGTAGTTTAATTACGTTTGTCGCTGTGTATATTAATGATGATCGATGTAATGAATTTAGTATTGGAGTAGCGAGGAAAATTTTGTGTGACGTACGTGTTGTTTTATGGTATTTACGTAAGGAGTTGGTGAGAGAGTGTTTTGAAATAGAAGCGAAACTAGTATGGAAAATTGTACATATATGGACATTCTAAAAAATGCAGAAATATAGAAGTTGGTGAAGATTGTAGCAATTTAGAAATTGTCAAAAATTGCACATATGTAGAAATTATAAAAAATTGTAGAAATATGGAAATTGTTAAAAATTGTACATATATAGAAATTATAGAAAATTGTACATGTATAGAAATTGTAAAAAATTGTAGAAATATAGAAATTATAGAATACTGTACATATATAGAAATTATAAAAAATTGTATATATATAGAAATTATAGAAAATTGTACATATATAGAAATTTAAAAAAATTGTAGAAATAAGGAAATAATAGTAAACTGCAGAAATATAGAAATTGTAAAAATATGAAAATTATAGAAAATTTATAGGTATAGAAAGCTGAATTTACAGAGATTTGAAAATGCAGAAATTCGAAAATACATAAACTTGAAAATATAGTAACTTGAAAATATAGAAAGTTTAAAGTATGAAAATTTGAAAATATACAAACTTAAAAATATAGAAATTTGAGAGTACAGCACCTTCAAAATGCATCTAAAGCTTTACTCGACAAATAACCTAAATAAAAACTAAAAAAATTGACCCCAAAATGTTAATAACTACAAGATAAGTTCTATATACTACAATTTTTAGTTCACTCTGCACTATAACGTAACCGATTGTAAGCTTTACTTGGCACCTACAAAACGACAACCACCACCACGAATACGAGGCTCGAGAAAAAGAAATCAACGATGACCCGAATAATTTAATTGTTGGTCAACGAGCAAAACAGATCCGGGTTCGAATCTCGGTCGAGGTTTCTCTCCCTACGTTAGCATAATGCAATATCACGATTCCTGTTGGAGGAAAAATTTGCAGCTACTTGTAATAAATTTATGGACCAATAAAATAAAAAATATTAAAATATAGAATCCTCTAAAGCAAGTGTCACTTTGACCTCTATTACTTTGTAAAATAAATTTCTTGTAAATTTTGAAAATTTAAAGAATTTTTTATTATTGAAATGTAGCTTGGTTTAATTGTAACTAGTGATGTAATCTAATGATATAGGTACCATATAGAGGTACATATAATATCATTTAATGTTAAATATAATATCATACCATGTTAAGTATAATAAAGTAAACTATCATATAATGTTAAAAATAATTCTGTAAACATTAGCAGCCACATTTCAGTAAAAGGTAAAATATGTGTCAATTAACCCCTTGACCTATGATTTTTCGGCAGGCGCGTCAGAGCTACTGAATTATTGACGTAATGTTAAGACAAACAAGGAAAGTCGAAATGTTAGGCGCATTTTGGATTCAAGGATCCATGATTGTGCAAATTATAATTGGTATTCCAGAGTCAATCATGTCGTAAATATTTTAGTTTGTTGTGTCTGAATTATAATGTGCGTCACGGGTGCGTCACGATATAAGCAAAAGGGTGGAAGATGATTCTTTAACTTCTGGTTAGTTTAATTTAATCTTATTACTGAATATTCTATCTGAACAATTTCTTTCGTAGTTATTTTATTTTTAGTGGTATATAAATCACTATTTGATATTAGCAAAAATGTTACTATTTGATATAAGCAAAAATTGTTACTACTTGATATAAGCAAAAATTGTTACTATTCAATATAAGCAAAAATTAGTTTATTTATATCCCACACTCTGACTAATAATTTTAGCATGTGGTTTACAAACCACATTTATAGTCGAACGATTAAGGAAAAATTTTAGAGGAAAGAGTGAATACATAAAATTTAGCAAATCCAGGATATATGAGAATGGAGAATGTGAACAATGTCCTTCGTGGTTTCTCAGGCACAGTGACGTAACAAGTACAGGCGCCACATCGTCAAAGTGGCTGCATTATGCAAAAGCGACTTCCACGAATAATACAGCTCTAATAATATAATTCCGCAAATCGACCTCGCTATGTCTCCGCTTCTACTGTCATATATGTACCGTTTTGTGAGTTAGGTATTACCATTGGGCGCCTCTAACGCATTTCGCAGCGACAAATTGGCGAGGGGAAAAAGTAGATCAATCGAATAAACGGGGTCAGAAATAGTTGGGGGACTTTAAAGATTACCGAGCATTGCTTTACGTTCATTTATGGAAAGAGGGTCTTTACATTCTAACATGTAACTTCTTATTATGGAAAAATTGATTAATAATAGGAAATTTAAGAAAATTTATCAATAATAAATAGATATATTCTAGTTAAATAATTTATTGAAATAAAAAATTTTACAATGCATTTTAAGAAATTATTTAAATTATTTAAAGTTATTTAAGTTATTTGAGAAGTACAATGAAAAAGTTTGCAATTGATTTACTAACTATTAGTAACAAAATATAAAAATTTTATATGATACTTTTTATTATAGAATAATTGTAATGCAATGCAATGAAGGGTTAAGTAAATAATATTTGAAAAGGGGAAATAAATTTGAAAAAGCAACTTACCCATGGCGAGAGAGACTCTCAGTAGCGGGCTGTACAGACGTAGTTACAGACATGTTGTTGTTGTTACTGTTTTGATGAGTTAGAACTGAAACAAAAAATAAATAATCATAAAGACAATGCAAATCACTGCAAGAAAAGTCTATACAAAACTAGAAGGACACGTCGTTAGACGAATCTTAAACTCGTAAATAACTCTTTATGCGTGAACTTGACAATTTTCAAGTTCATAAATTTTCATAATTCTAGATTTGTAAATCCTTAAAACTTCGAAACCAATAATTTCTTAAATTATACAAAATTTTTGAATTTCAAAACTCCATTTCTAAATTTTTGGAATGAAAAATTCGTAGATGTTCAAATCCCTAGATTACCGAATTTCTAGGCTCTGAAATTCCTAGATTCTCAAATCCACAAATTACCAAAATTCTGAACGCCCCAATTCCAAGCTTTCTATATTCCTAGATCCCCAAATTCCTAGATTACCAAAATTCTGAACGCCCCAATTCCAAGCTTTCTATATTCCTAGATCCCCAAATTCCTAGATTACCAAAATTCTGAACGTCCCAATTCCTAGATCCCCAAATTCCAAGCTTCCCATATCCCTAGATGCCCAAATTCCAAGCTTCCTATATTCCTAGATCCCCAAATCCCAAGATTCCCAATTCCTGAATCCCCAAATCCCAATATCACCTAATTTCTACACGTCCCAATCCCTAGATCCCCAAATCCCAAGATTCCCAATTCCTGAATCCCCAAATCCCTATATCACCCAATTTCTACACATCCCAATCCCTAGATCCCCAAATCCCAAGATTCCCAATTCCTACATCCCCAAATCCCTATATCCCAAAATTTTGAAGCACTCCAATTCCTAAATTCCCAAATTCCAAAACTCCAAAATTCTCCCTAACCCTAGTCTCTAAAATTTCCAACCGTACAAAAATTCCCAAAATGGCCATATCCTCAAATTCTCTTTCTAAATCTAGAAAATCCTACATTTCCACATCCCTAAATCTCCATATCCTAAGAACCTGAACTTCCATATCCCAACATTTTGCAATATCTAAAGCTTCATTAAAATGAACAAGTGTCCTCTTGCCCGATTGCGATATTTCCCTAGGGAAGCCAGACTTGTACTTGACTTCAGAAATGTGGCACACGAACGCGAACCGCGAAGGACAACCGCGATAAGTTTCACCAGCGGATCTCGCCTTGGCACGGAACACACAACTTTTACTTTCTCCGTAGAAAGAAAGCTCAATGCGATTGCGAGACATGCTCTGAATCCTTTATTTTGATCAACTGAAGAGCTCCCTTCGCGTAACAGATTATATAATCGAGAACGAAAGGGAACTATGAAGGTAGAAAGCACTCTGTGAAATGAACCGTTTCAGGACAATATCGCGATGAAAACTTCAAACAGTTATTTGATAGCTTGTACAGTCATCTGTGAGGTATTTCTAGGGAAATTATCGAGGAAAGACCTTTCACTGCTTTTTAGTCGATTATGAAATGGGTTATGAAATTTAGAAATTTGTTCCCCGGTAATTTTCGTTAATTTTGAGCGTCGGTTATAAAGTACAAATAAATTTATCGTCGGGTAATGTTATGGGAAGAGTGTATGAATTATTTATGAGTTGCAAATAAATCGTGCGAAGCGTTATTTTATGCCTTGACTCGTTCCATAGTGTAATATATGAAGTATCTTGGTGTCAGAAGATCAAACATTCAGCAAAGAGAATGTAGTGGTGCACATATGTACATGTTTTTGTGTCATTGCCTTCTCGATCGGAAGTTAAGAATGCACAAATATTTTCCTTGACTCATTACGCGTATTTATTCCAGAGAATTCAATAAGAAATGCTTACTGTTGCAAACACTGGATGACGTCAAGGATAAAGTATTTATCGGCTTTGTTCAGCACGATGTTCGTAATTATTAAGCCGATTACACGGTTATTATGAAACAAGACGCGTTCCGTTGACGCGTCAAATGGAAAACAGACGAAACAAACGTGTGGCTTATGAAATTTTTATTTAACTTGCCGTTTTACTGGTTTATGAAATCGACATTACGAAATGGGAGATCAATCAAATGGCGGAGAATTTAATTATGTATGCGAAATAGTTTCGTGGATGGATGGCGGTTCGAATTTTGCGCGCAAGTCTGAGGTGCGCGCGCAGTTCGGACGCAGGTTGCGCGCGCAACTTGCATTTGAATTCCCGGGCCGCTTCAAATTATTATTTGTAGGAGGAAAGATTTGTTTTCGATTTTGGGATTATTGGATATTTGATTTTTGGGATTATTGATAGTTTGATGGTTTTTTAATTTTTAGGTTTGAAATTTCTGTATCTTCACGTTTTTAAATTATTATATCTTCAAATTTCTCAAATGACTGAATCTTCAAATTTCTCAAACTAATAAATCTTTATATTTTTCAAATGATTAAATCTTTCAATTTCTCTTTCTTTAAATTACTAAATCGTAAAATTTTCAAATTCTCAAATTCAAAAATATTCAAATCCCAGAATTAGAAATCTTTCTGTTAATATGCAAACGTACGAATTTCCTTCAACCTTCGAATATAATATTTCCAACAACCTTCGTTTCAAAATTATTCGACCAATGTCCAACTGTAATCAAAAGCAATATATTCACGCCAAATATCCAAACTCATTATTAATTCGTTAAAATGAAGATAGCAATCAAAGTTTTGGGAAATCCTGTGTTAATTTGCCTGCATTCATTAAGATAAACGGGGATTCCATTAACAGTGTTCGAAAGGAAATTACCGATGATTGGACTGTTTATTTATTCACGAGGTCGTTTGATTAATTCTATGTAAGTATAGTACAATATTATGTAATGTAACAATGTAAAATATTCATTAATATTAAGTCAGATTTTTCGTTTAAATTACATTAAATCAAATTTATGTAAGGAGAGGAATTGCAATTATTTGCAATTATTGTTCGAAAATTAATTTATCGTACTTCAACTTGTGACGCACTCAAAGTTCAAATATCTTAAACTCTTTTTTCAAATTTTGAATACTCTTCAATTTGAAATCAATTCAATTTTAAAGTCCAAATATATTTTACACAATAAAAAATAATCACCAATCATAAAATAGTAAAAACATTTCAACTTTCTATACTAGTTTCAATATTATAGTAGAAGATAACTTTCAAATGACGCACTTGACGAATAAATAACAGGGATTGAAAAAGATAGAACGCAGATCGAATTTGCACAACTGAACGCAAATGTACGCAATTCGGCCTGTGAAATAATTACATAGACGTAATTTCCTCAAACACTGTTTTGTGTACGTCGATCGATGAACTCAAAATCGATTCATTATCTAACAGTGACACTTGTTTACGAAACGCCAACAACGTTTCCGTATTTTACATAAAACGAGATGAACAAGGTCTATCGGGGTCCACTGTTTGATCAGCTTTCCATCACTATTCTATTAGTTTATTTGCAAATGCCAATACGGTTTTTAAATTAAAACTGATAACTTCGAGGTTGTTGTAAAATATAAATGAATCGGAACTTTCATGTTAATATTATATGAACATTCATTTGTAATAAATCGATTGGAAAATTTTCTAAATAATTGCATTGATAAATGAAACACATCTATTAAATATAATAAATTTATTTCATCAATCAATTCAATTGATTTTGTTATACGTTTATGTTTTAACAAAAAAAAATTTATTAAAACTTGTTAAATTTTCTTTTTTGTTAAAATGTAATTAAATCAAATTTATCTACATTTTAAAATTTGTTTCTATTCAAACTCCACTTTCTAAAATTGCAAATTTCATTATCAAATAATCGAAACACATCATTTAATCGAAACGATATTTAAATAATTATCGAAACGATTATCGCAATGATCAGACTAAAGAAACTTTAAACTCAATTTTACACAAACGAAGTTTTAATAGCGCGGTTCAAAAAAGGTTCAAAGTTTAATTAATAAATTACGAAATGATTGAATGATAAATTTCGTCAGGCGATTTTTTATTAAATTACATTAAAAGCCCCGAAGTTAAGTTAAATTATCAAGTATAATTTGATCATACGTATAATTAAATATCATCATGTATAATTAAATTTGATCACACGTATAATTAACGAAACCTCGAGTGAAATCTTTTCATTAAAGAATCACGGAAATAATTGGTGTCTAAAAGATAAAATACAATATAAAAAATATGTTAATCATTCGTGTAAAGTTGCAAAACATGTGGTTCGAAATGAAAGTACGAAAACGAACAAAAAAGGATGAAAATCGGTAAGGAGAAGTATTGTCACGTGTCACTGCGACGTTCCTGAACGCAACAGTAATACAATTGTAAAAATAGTTGCTTCTAAAAATAACGGGATTATTTTTAACGCGAAGAATACAAAACGAAGTTCTATAGCTGCGCGTGCTACATTTTCGATTATATGTACATAAGAGAACTGGAAATCGATACAAACACAAGGGGTATGCTTTTTATAGAATATCCCTTGTGCGTTATGCAAATACAAGCACGTTCAAGCTTTTGTTTGAACGAGACTTTAATAACAAGACTAATAGAAATATTTGGAAATTTAACGATTTGGGAAATTTTAAATTTAGGTAGTTGGAAATTTTAGTTTTGGAGAGGTGGAAGATTGAGAAAAGGGAGATTGGAAATTTTGGGATTTTGAAAATTTTAGGATTTTGGAAATTTGGGATATGGGGAATTTGAGGAATTGAAGAATTCAAAATTTGGGGGTTTAGAAATTTTGGGAGGTGAAAATTTGGGAATTTAGTGATTTGGAAATTTGGGAATTTGGGGATTTAAGAATTTGGAATTCTGGGGACTTGGGAGATTGGAAATTTGGGAATTTAGAAATTTGGAAATTTAGGAATTTGGAAATTTGGAAATTTGGGAATTTGGAAATTTAGAAATTTAGGAATTTGGAAATTTAGAAATTTGGAAATTTAGGAATTTAGGAATTTGGGAATTTAGGAATTTGGAAATTTAGAAATTTGGAAATTTCGGAATTTGGGAAATTGCAAATTTGGGAATTTAGTGA